GCTTTCAAGATGTTAAATTGCTAAAAGGAAACTATTGATTTATTGACTTTTTAATAAATTAACATATATTCATGCGATACATATTTTTGGTACTACAGCAAGGAAACCTGACTGACACACAGGTACATGTACATTGTACATATATGGTGATGATTTACATATAATATAATATTAAAAATAAGATGTATTACATTAGTCAAATATCTACATTTAACATAATATTTTATGGTTTAAAGCTACAGGCTGATTGTTTTGTATAAAGCTAAAGGGGACCAATCTACCACAGCTGACCATCACTGAAGAAAGTAACTACTTAAATTGAGAAAGACAGCATTGGGTGACCAAAATATAATATACATGTATGCCTGCTTTTAGGCTACTTTCTGGCTAATTTTAAATAATAATTCAATTGGTGAATATGACTAAACGCCATGTCCTCTGTTTTTAGATTGTGATTGTGAAAGTTATCCCCTCCTCCGAGATATCCTGGGGACACATTTCCATAAACAGCATGAATACACTGTATCACTAGTGAAAATAACTAATAACGTAATTACTTTATCCAAGACGTTCATTTGCAAATGTCGACAGACATGGGCTCATCGAATTCCTTGCTGTAGTGTAATGAATACAAATTGCAGCAAACAGAAAACAAACGAATATATTCAATATAATGGTATCCCACAAACTTATATAGTGTGACAAGTGTCTTTACATCAAAAAATAAATGCAACTTTTAGTGACACAAAAACTTTGACTAAGACTCAGAATCCAAAGAATGTTATTGCCATGGCGATTTTCATGAATGTTCACTCGCTCAATTCACTGTGCAAGATGTGTCTATATCTATAGAAAACACCTATGATATACCATAAGAAAAGACTGACTAATCTGCAGGACATAACGACTGTTTCTCCACTTACATTTATTACATTTTCTCAATGAAACCCCTCAATTCTCTAATGTGAAACATTGACATAGGTCAAACTGGACAAAAGTCATACTAAATAAACCAAAAACTGGTTACACAGGCGATAGGATAAGTATTACTCTATACCAAAGGAAGGAATGGGAATGATCTTGTATTTCAAAAGTGTTCTTATGAGTGAATAAGTGGCCTACATGTACATGTATCAGTTAAAAAAGCTCTGTGACAAGAACAACATCAATTTTACATTGTATCATCATGAAAATGTGCCACTCATTGTAAGGAGCTCCTTAGATACATTCATGGTTCAGGTAAGAATAAAATGAATGTCTAAGAAATCTACAGCCAACAGTTGGATATTGACATTCTTGGTTTCTCTTACACACCTATAATCCAACCACACATGTACCAACTAGAGGAGTTTCAATATTCTGTGAAATACATGGAAATGTAGGTCCACATTGCTAGGCAATATTGTGTATAAACTATGACTGTTGCCCTGCCCAATCAAACAGTGCACAAGACAAAGACAATAATGAAGAAGTGTCTTTTTTACCATACTAGAACTATGGATCGATCTATCCATTTTATAAATGACAGAAACGGCTAACATTCTTTTTACCGATGCTGATCTGTTTATCGATGAGCAAAAGTCTTAAGTTCAAACATATACAGGCAGACATGAACTCACCTTTACTCAACTTGTTTCAATGAAACCTAGGCTTTCATGTGATAACAAAATAAGGGGAAGATAGTCGCACAATTAAACACAGCACCGATTTTTACAAGATGGCTACCATTAAGAAGGACGATATTCCAAACGTTTGGGTGGGAGTGCCCATATGGTAGTGGGGTGGTAGATTCCAGAGGTCCTTCTTATTTTTGACATTTTTAACAAACAATTTTTTTTGTTTGCCTTTCATTAGTCACCTTTTTTGATCAAAAATTGCTTTTCATTTTCTGTTATGATAGTTTTGTGAATCTAGAATAGTAAATTAGACAGTGCCAATGTACTGATTGTGTACTACAGCCCTGTAGCAATAATAAATCTACCTATGACATATTTCAAAATCAGCATCATAATCTCAATTTTCAAAATTTCTGCTGGTATTCACAAAAATAACTGCAGCAAAGATACTATGCTTCTACTGAATACAGTATAAATAAATATGAATGCATAAATTATTGATTATTTTATATCAAGAAACTTTAATTACAGATACTACAAGAAACATAGATATAAAATTTGTCACTGAGGATCATTTTTACTTGCATGTCTTGTTAAAAATTGAATTAATGGCATGGTGAAATTGTCACTGATAGATGAGATAATTATTGTGAAACAAGTCATGACATGATGTAGTCCCAGAACATTTTCAGTGAAAGCTAATAAAGGAGTATACATTGTATGTGCAAATATCACTTAATACATACATGTAAGGTGATTAATTGTTCACTACAAAGTATTGTGTGAAACACAAGGACTGAACGTCTGCTAAAAAAATTGATAGATTTGATTTTGAATAGAAATTTCTTTTTTTGGGAAATCAAAATTGACCATCATGAAATGTGCATACATGTAGCACTTTATAAAGCAAAGATATACCCCAAATATACTTTTATGTCTGTTGAATTTCATATGTTTTGACACCATTGTGACACTATGTTTTATGTTCAAATTCAAGCCATTACATGGGATGAAAATAGACTATTGGTCAAAACATGAAGGTAGATACATGTAATGACTTTGAAGTGCCCAAGATGCTGATTTATTGTAGGATTATGCTCCAATTTTTTTAATTTTTCAGTTGTTAAAAATACAAATAAAATTGCAGCATATACCTCTTTTGGATTTTAATTGAGAGATTTGGTACATTTTTATTACTGTATGTAAATTTTGAATGTCAAAATTAATAAACAAATACATATACGAATGTATATCTTAAGATGTATAATGTTTGAATATAATAGTTGGTTGTATGTCAAAAATATGGCTATCAAACAAAATTAGCCACCAGTAGCCCAACCTTGAATCCAAGTTCGAACAAAAAACCTGTCCAATGCCATAAACAAACACCTGTATGACGTGAAGTATGATGTACGAGTTTTGTGTTAACATGATTGGACCAGGCATGTATGAAATATGAGCATGGACGCACATTATGAAAGTGACTGATTACATAAATTTACATGTGAAGTTCTACATGTGAATAGTGTTGCTTATCTCAACTCAAATCACAAAACACTAAGCTAATTTGAAGGTATATATAGCTGTATTGCAAGCAGTTCAAATTTGCCCTATTTTTTCACACATGTCAATGATGTGCTTACATGTATGAGAGTCTATGGTCAGAGAGAATAATATTTTAATGATCCAGTATACATTACGATATATGCAATTTTAGTCAATCATTGGGAGCAGACATCCAGGCATTTTCACCGCCTGGCAACCATCACAGTGAAAACAAAGGCCAAAAAATGACAGAAAACTGTATATTGGGATAGTTGTTGAGACTCTACTGAACAGTGTAACAAGATTACCCCTATATGTGCAACATATATTATATACATTCGGTTGCTCAGTATTACTTCAAAGTTGAGTTTATGCTGTTTGCTTGGTTGGTAAGTACATCAAAATGATATTACATGTATGCTGCCAGACACTGAGACATAATATTGATTATAACGATACATAGTTAATCACCATTTCATTGTTTTTATTTTTAAAGTTCACAGGTTCAGTATAGAATCATCCCCAGGGATGAGTATATGTAATTACTATTGCTCATTTATAGATGCATCACAATTGATGATGAATAATATCTACATGCTCTAGGAATTTTGTTATCATCTGATTAAAATTTATCAACAAATGCAAAATTGTTGAAGAAAATTTTATGGATGAAATGCTTGATAAGATCCATTTATAATAATATATATTTATATATACAGACATGAATACCATATTTATTCTATTAGAAGTTCAATAGAGGCTGCTAGTCTGAACAAGTTTAGTTTATACAATATATGTATTCACATAGTTTTACAAACACTCCGAATAATAAACACATCATGATTTTTCTGGATTTACGTTCACGATATTGAAGTATTCAATCTTTGTATGCTTGTAAACTTAGTGACTATTTAAAGTAGGTCTCTGGAGACTAAACTGCAAAAGTGGATGTCCAATTCACATACACAGACATATATCCTTGCAGACCGAGTACACAATCAAAAGCCAATCAAACTGACTTTGTAATGCCTCACACTGTTTGTATTTATACAAATTAGGCATTGATGCACAGAATGTATACAAATAAAATGTTATAAAATAATATTCACATCCAAATAAAAAACGTGTGTCTTAACACCAACAGTTACATAATTAATTGTCAACCATGCACATAGGGTCACCTATAACATGGTTAACTATTATACAACATTGCAAAATATCTCAACAATGTTACAGAAAATAAGTTACATTATGTAACACTTGTGAATGACATGTACCAGTAATATATCATGAATACATCTACATGTGTATGACCTCTTTTGATTCAACAAGAATATAATTCTTGTACGACAGCATCAGTTGAATTAAGTCCATATTTTGCAAATGTTGTCAGTCTAATAATGATGTATATTATCCAAGTGGTCTAAATACCTCGGTACATCACAAGTATATCAGAAATGAAGCCTGCTTAGATAACTCAAACCTACAGACAATCTCAATTTGTTGTCTGCTAAGGGATTAACCATTAGAAACTCTGAAAGTGGAAATGGTAGTAAAACTGTGCAAAATATTCTGTAATAATAGTATTCTGCTACTTTTTGTTTCAGGGCGATGATGCTGTTCTTAGGGGGCCTTTCTTTTATCAAATTTGAGTTTTTGTTGTTGTACCCCGGTATAAATGCTTCTATAATAGAATGTCTCTCCTAACCTGAGTTTCTAATGCTCAAGCCCCAAATGAATAAAGTCTTTCCATGGCCAGTAATGATCTAATTGAAAGGGAGACAACAAATCAAGGGTTTAGTGTACAACATCAACAAATATGATATGAATTAAACATACCTTCAGCAGAACGGAAAGATACTTTAGCCATTTTTAAAAATGAATCAACAATGATAATCAACCTACACACACCTCCATTACAATGACTGTTTACACCATGTTGTAATGGCCATAGAAATTTACATTAATATGCCATCTGTTTTATGGGCAGCAACAGACCAGGTAAGTAGGAGCTATTTACATGTAGTCTATACATATAGGAAATGCCAAGTGCTACTATACTAAACAGCTAGGATGCAAGTCCCAGGTGAAACTCATACTAAACCAACCAAAATGTAAATGCAATGCTCTGATCGGGATTTGCTGAACTTGCTGAAGAAAAAATGTCCCCCTAAAGTAGAATCATATTATACTACTTCTACATCAAGTTTCAAATGCTTATGTTTTTGAGATTAGATCTATTTTAAAATGCACGACTAGATGCATCATTGCATGTACAAGCACCATAACTTAACAATGATGTGATAACCTAATTGAAAATGCATACATTTGTATGTAAACCAAATTTCTGGACCTCTATTTTGTTAACCCTCAGGAAGCAATTGTCTTTTTGTGCCTCTTGCTTTATTTTGCCATGTATTCTTTATATACGTACATGTAACTAAAAAACAAAAGAAATTATGCTAAACTTATTATATGCAGAGTAACACTGTCATATTCTGCCATAAATACATTGTACAAGGTCTGGGCTTTCGTCAGGTAGAAATAGATTCAGCTACAGTGACTAATACAACATTATTATTTTCAGTCATTTTTCAAATTGTTTAGCCACATTGTAAACAACGAGGAATCAAAAATATTGTTAGATTTGTGAAATGTGCCATTGTGACATGAATTTCATATTAGGCAATATGTTGTCATGGCTAATTAATTTTATATTTTTGTGGGTGATGAACATTTTTGCAACATAATTATATTTCATGTTTTTTAAATTGATGATGAAAGTGACATACATTTAATTTATTGTTTCCAAATCTAAATGAAACTTGCCATTGATGCATTACTGGTGAAGGGTTAGCGAAAGCCGAGAATGTCATACTCGGCAGTCTGTATGTGTTTGTTACATAGCAACACAAGTAATGATGCATACTGCGTGATTGATCATGTACTGAGCATTTACACTGATGAGTCAGATAATTATTCTGTGGAACAGCATGAATCTGATAAAAAACACCTAAATTTAGCTTAATTACAATTGCAGCATATGCAGCATTACCACCAAGGCACACATTGAAATGACAACAGTCCCCATTGATATTTTTTCAAAGTGACCTCTTATGATATTCCAAACAATCAGTCTGTCAGCTGAGATAGCTCCGCTGCTAGTAATACAATTAGAGAAATAAAGATATCATCATGAAATGAACAAATCTGATAGAGGTCCACATGTAGTACAAATCCGAGTGAGGTTTATATGTATAATATCAAAGCAATCAGAATTGCGTTCTTTAGGAAGAAGTCAAAAATATTCACCAAAATTGAAGAATTGAAGATATCATCACGGAATAGACAAATCTAAGAGAGGTCCACATGTATATATGCAATATCAAACCAATTAGATTTGTTCATTTCATACTTTTAATTCTCTAATTTTGATGAATAATGAAATGAACAAATCTAAGAGAGGTCTACACAAGATACATATACACCAAGTATCAAAGCATTCCGGCTTACATTCAAGTAAAGAAAGCAAAGAGTTGACACAAACTCCAATGGACAATCACTCATATGACAGTGTAGCTAAAAAAACTTTCTAAATTTAGTTAAATTTAGTCCACAAATTTATGACACAAATGTTACAGTCCATGTCTTTGAAAAAATGTTACCGAGGTATCATAATTAAAATGTATTATTACATATAAATTGTAAATTATACCATGGACATACTACCAAAGGATGAACCACTGAGTTAAGAGGATTAAACAAGCAGCCTGATGGCTGAGATAGCTCCGCTGTTAGCAATGCACATGCAATGCACTGTTTTTCAACAAGATTTTGTAAAATATCACTTTTC